ATGGGTAGAGACAGAAGGATCAGTGAGGTTGAATCCCCAAGTTCAGAGAGAGCCCCAGACTCAAAGGAATGGGTGGAAAATAGAGGAACCCGATGCTTTCTTCTGGCCTCCATACATGTACCTAAATATACATGTGTATTCAGTCACTCTTTCTCACACATAGGTGAACAAATCAATAATTCTTAAAAAATAAATGAGCAAATGATGGGAGAAAACATAGAAGCTAAGAGATTCACTTCAACGGAGGTCAAATATTATTTGGCTGTCAGATAATAATAAGTGACAGAAAAATCCAGAATTTTAGGTATTGTCTCAACATTTTTTTTTTTTTTTGGTTTTTCGAGACAGGGTTTCTCTGTCTAGCTTTGGAGCCTATCCTGGCACTCACTCTGGAGACCAGGTTGGCCTCGAACTCACAGAGATCTGCCACCTTCTGCCTTCCTTCTGCTGGGATTAAAGGCATGTGCCACCAACGCCCGGCTCAACATTCTTAATGTTTTATTTTTTAGGCTTTTGCAGAATTATTTATATGTCCTATTGTGTTGAAGTGTTTAAAATAGCATTAATAAGCCATAATTAGCATCATTTGGGCAGAAGCAGAGACTTGGAGAAAAGTCAGCGGAAGGAAGGGCATGATGGGAAATGAAACAGATGTGAATAAGTGGAGGTGGCATGCATCAGAAACATCTTAGATCAAAAGTAATGGAGTTCTTGACTAATGGAACCTCAAAATGCTCAGAAATACATGGCCACTGGCAACAAGTCTCTGGCTTAAGAATATCATCCTGGAAGTGGGCTCTTTCCAGTTTTCTTCCCTGACATGTTCAATCTGGTGTTTTTCATCCTGGAAACTTCTCATCAAACGTTGAGAAGATTGCCACCACCATGTAGACCCCATTAACCACCACTGGTGTGGAAAGTGAGAAAGTTGCTAAAATGACTTTTCTTGAAGAAAATTTTCCTCTTACATATCCCAGATGTTCCATTACATCTTATTAGCCTAAACCAGGCTGCAGGGCCACTCTGAAGAAAAGCTGATTAGAAAAATAATGGACAGTAGGGTGAGGATGGAGGCAAAGAATACTGGGAGAGCCAACTGAAATCCAGGGGCATCTCTGGGATGAGCTAGAAACCTAGAGCAATGGAAACTCCCAGGAATATAGGAGGGTGGCCCTAGCTAAGACTCCTAGCAATAGGGTATACAACGCCTCAAACAGCTATCTTCTGTAACCAGGCAAGAATTCCAGTGGAGGGACTAGAACATCAACCTAGCCACAAACTCTTCGACCTGCAATTTGTCCTGCCTACAAAATGTTCTGGGGTAAAGATGACACAGAAACTGTGGGAGTGACCAACTAATTATTAGCCCATAGAGACCCATATCCTGAGAGGGAATTTTCCAATGAGGGCCAGGACCCAGAAGCAGGATACCCCTAGTCCTAGGATAGAATCAAACATGACTAAAGTCAGTGAAATGATTCCGAATGATATTCTGCTATACTCATAGACTGGCGCCTAGCTCAAATGTCATCAGAGTCTTTACACAGTAACTGATGGAAACAGCAGAGACTCACAGCCAAACATTAGGCAGAGCTTGGGGAATCCCGAAGAAGAGGGGGATGAAGGATTTTAGGAGCCAGTGAGGTCAATGGCACTATATGAAAACCCACACCAACTAACCTGGGCTCATAGGAGTTCACAGAGACTTAACTGACAACTAGGGAGCCTGAATGGTACCAACCTAGGCACCCTGAATATATATTACAATTGTGTAATGTGGTCTTCTTGTGAGACTCCTAACTATGACTCTGTTGTCTGCTTTTTGGGACCCTTTCCTTCTACTGGAGGTACCTAGTCTCACTGCAACTTTATATACCTAGTAGGCTGACATCCATGGGAAGTTCATCCATATCTGAAGAGAAACAGAGGAGGAGGAGTAGATAGGGGTGTGACTGGAAGAAAGGGGATGAGGGAGGGAAAACTTTGGTTGGGATGTAAAAACAAAAAAGAAATAAAACAACAGCAACTACAAAAGTAAAAAGAAAAGTAATAGATAAAATACAGAGTGTTTTAGAAGTCTCTGCCTACTTGCAGGGGCTGGGAATGGTGCTGTCCCAATCATTAACCAGTGTTCTATCAGGAAAGAAGGAGTAAAGCATCAGTAGGTGAGAACTGACAATGACTGGAATCCTGTTTTTTAATATGAATCTGCAGCTGAGAGATGGCTAGTGACTTACTTAATCTTCCATTTCCTAGGTTCATTTATCTGGTCCTCTTGGGGCCCTAAGAGTCTTGGAGCCAATGTGCAACAATGACTCTGCAAATCTGCCCACTCATTTTCATGCAACTATATTTTTGCTTGTAGCTTTACATAGTTTTATCCGATTCACAAATTAAATTTCAAATGAAGAAAATTTAAAACTACTCATCTAAATACATTTACTTGCTTTCACCTTAATGAGGAAATAGCAGCTTTCCTTAAGCGTCTTGGAGCTGATCATTTATGACAGACACACATTGAAGACATTGAAGGAGCAAGGTACTTGTCAACCCAGTTTGATCACTGGCTTCCACTCAGGTTTATTTCTGCTTACAGGCATGGTCCCTACTTTAATGACTCTATAAAAACTCCCTATTCTCCCATCATAGGCTGTCTAGTCATCAGGCTTTGTCCAAGAGTGGATATCATGTGTCTCACATGTTACAGGAACTTGATGAAACGTTTGCACTTTGACTGGATTCAACTTACTTTTAAAGAATGATGGGAAGAGAAAATACCTGCTTTTCTCCTCCTCTTTCTTTTTCTTTAATGAAGACTGGGTCTCACTTCGAAGTTCAGGCTTGTCCTTAAACTCATGATTCTCCTGCATTTGTGTCTGGAGTGTTCAGTGTAAAAGCACAACCATGCCCATCCCATTTCCCTATAAAACCAACAGCACAGCTTCAGGTCCCAACAAGACCAAGAGTTAGACTAATGCTTAGTTTGATTAACTTTTGATCTGAAATTGGCAGACAGAAAAAATGTGTCTCTTGTTTTTCCTTCAAGAACCTAATCTGGAGAAATAAATGCCAAGGATAAGGAGGAAACCCATTCTTGGGAAGAGAAGGGGAAGGAGGAAAAGAGTCAGGCTGAGGTGTGGGAATGGGACAGGGAGGAGAAACAGAAAGAGAAAGGAGGAAAGAGGGACATGGAAAGAGACAGAGATGCGAAGAGAAGCAAAAACAGAAAGAAGACATCCAAAGGCAAGTGGACAACTTGAGGCTTTGTTAAGAATTCTCTCCTCCATCTGAAAGTCACTTGATTTCTCTCAGTGTCGAGAATCACATTCATATCTACTGCAACTGCACATAGAAGGCTCTCTCTGCCTTGTTGAAGTTCTAGCACATGAGCCATTCAAGGCCAAGATCCTGCCCCACCCCCCTGCTCTCAGAAGTCACACATAATTATCAATAGCCTGCTTCCATTTCAGCCCAGATATATGGAAAAAGGCCTAGGCCCTCCCCAAATGATGTGACAGACTTTGATGATCCTCCATAGAAGGCCTCACTATCCTTGGGGAGAGATAGGAGGGTGGGTTGGGGGGGGTCATAAGGGAGCATGGGAGGGAGAGGGAACAAGGGGATTGATATGTAAAATTATTGTTTCTAAATAAAACTTCTTTCTGTTTATAGAGCAAACACAAAGTCACCTTAGAATCCAATTTGAAAGAAACAAAGCCCTACAACTGAAGACAATACTTCCCTAAGGGTCACTTCAGTCCTGACCTTCTGCCATTGTTAATTCCCCAAGACACTGCAGAGGTGGCACCAGAAAAGGGCTATTACATGGAAGGCACACATGCAAGAACAGCCTCCTATTCTCTACCTTGCCACTCATCACTTTCAAAGCCTCACTCCAAAATTACTCATTTCTCACTCCCTTTACTTGCTTGCTGTCTTGGTTGCTTGTTTATAGTTATTGGAATTCTACATGAAATGAAAATGAATGCCGTGGAGGTAAGCAACAGATCAAAGTGTTAGGAGAGATGAAACTTACAAGATAGCTTAAGGTTACAATTCAGAAATGAATATTTTAGCCTTTTCAGAGCAAAGAACAACTTCGTAGCTACACAAACTATGTGCTGTTTAGAAAGAACAAGGCACAGAAAGAATTCACTGCATCCTGGAGCTAGTAGCTTTACTGTTACAAAGGCAGCAAGATCACCTGGGTTTTCAGATCCCAGGAGCAATTCCCCTAAGGTCCAACAAGGGGCCACTATACTACTACCACCGAAGGGAACTATGCCACAGACAAGTGGGCAATTCCTTGTGAGTTAAAGGTACAAATGTCATGACTAATGTATCGTCACAGGATCTTGACACTTGAGGATATGCTAAATAACAGGCAGAAACTTGCTTTTGGTGCATTATCAACCAGATGAAATATGAGCCTAAACTTATTCTACATCGATTGCATTTCAGTGCAAGAACATGTTGCATGAAAATACCCAGTGTGGGATCTAGCACAAAAGATGTGCACATCCTCATTAAAGGTGGGCTATAGCTTCTGAGGGCAAAGAAAAAGACGACATCGTAAGTTCAGTTATAATCACCTAAACAAGATATAAAAACAAAAGAGAGAGAAAGAGAGCAATCAAATGACTATTATGCTTAGAGAGCACTTTTAAAAGCATTGAAGCAAACACAGCATTTAGTAAAAAAGATAATGGGCTCAGGGATGTTTCAGGAATGAGTATCACAATGAACTAACTGATAAAAGGTGGTAAGAATCAAAGAGATCCAAGATAATTTCTCTGTGTGCAGTTGCAACCTTTGCTTGGTGCCAGTTCTAGAGTTTTACCAACCTTTGGCATGACAGCTACATGCACTGCTTTCACTCTGCACAAAGAAGCTGGGAATACCAAAGAAATATCATTTAGGATAATCAATTCTGGCCCAGTACATAATTTCTTCAGAATTTAAAAACTGAAAAAGCAAAATGAAAATAAAAAATAAACATGTTTTGGAATGGAGACATCTATTTGCCTTTATTTGTGATGACAGGGAGTTGTCAATCAATACCTGATTAGTCAGAGGTAGAAAGATGCACATTTTGATTGTCTTTAGGAACACCATGTTTTCTTCATGTTTGCTTGAACAAGTACACTGTCCTCATGAATTCAGACTGTATTTCTCAATCTGTCACTGCAAGTCAGTGAGCTATCCTTCTGAGCTGCACATTCACTGCTGTATTTTGCTTCCTGGTGGTTGTCTGCTGTTACATTTTACATGCAATAAGAACATGAGTGTACTCTGTTAAAAATATATCTTTTGTACAAATGCACCTTTTTGACCAGCAAGATTTTACTAAACATTTTTAGCACATCTCAATCGGATTAACCATTCAGTATCACAGTCTTTTAATGCCAATGAAAATAATAACTTATCGCTTAAAATAAATTTTTAACTTGATAGAAAAATGCAACAGACATAAAATCTGTGAGGAGAAAATGAGGTGCGGGTAGCCAGGCATTCTCAGTGCTTTAATACTTCGTTCTCAAAAGTAAACACAGGACTAATCGTCAGTTCAACTCCAGTGAAGAAAAACCTAAAATTGAATTAATTAATCAGAGCTGAAGTCCAAAACCAAAATGAGCTTCAACCAATGGTATTACCAAATCAGAAAGTTCGCTCTAGAAAGCTATTCACAATGCAAAATTCTGACCAAACTGAAGTGGTGGCACTAGAGTCTGTGTCTCTTTGTGAGGGTTCAATATCCCCTAACACCCAGGGATAGGATTACATAAACAGAATTATACAAGGCTTTATGAAATTGAATATGGGCAATTAAGCATTTTTAATGTTTGGGTTACAATTCCTGTCATAACACAAGTTCTACTGCATAACTTAGAATGGCCTGAAACCTTTTTCTAGCAACAAAATTATATATTTAAAGATAATTCCTATATGTTACATTAACTGTAGACACACCACCAATTTTAGCCTTTTATTAACCTAAAAAAGTACAGCTTTCCCCAGAAAAACCCAGTGATCATATATCAGTCAGCTGTCCGGGACTGCTTCCATAATCAGCACCAACTGTCTGTTGTCCCTTAACTCCAGTGTGAACTGGTTAATGAACAGGAAGCAGGGGAGCAGAAATCCAATTAGGAAGAAGAGAACTCCCAGCAATCACTGCATTTTTCACATTTGTAGTTGTAAAACACCCCTTTTAGGTGAGACATTTGAAAGGTTACCAACTGTCAAACTGGCCCAAAGCTCTTTCATTCCATAGGATCTTAACCCCTTCTAAAACACCAATGGCATTCAAACTGAGCTATGAAGAGTTCACTCACTGGAAGTGAAAACAAACCTACTATGCCTGTAGGAGGTGTAAAGATTGGCCTTTAAGTATCTGCTTGACAATATTCAGGTGTAACACTCCTGTGAACACTGAGACATACTTTTCCCACTGCAGCACATGTTGGTTTCCATTTGTTCCTAATAGCTCACTAGACTGCCAAACAGCCCACCTGGTCACAAAGAGAGATGGGACTGTCAGCTGAACAAAAGAGCATGGATACCACCATGACATTGGCCCAAATAATATGAGACCCATGTTTACATCCCTGAAATAAGAGTGACCACTTTCTCCACAATTCCCATGGAGGGGTCTTCACATCTACAGTACTCCATAGCTACAGAAATCCATTCAAAGCTTAGAAATCACAGATTGAATCCATGTACCCGTGATGTTTTGTAAATCCTGAAGTGGAGAAATAGTCTTAGCTTTGACCAAGAATTCTATTGGAATGAACTAAAGACATCTTTTTAAAGTAATTTTAAGTATACTCTTATTATATTTCTACATAGATTATTCAATATTCTTTGTGGACATAATTTAATCAATAATATATCATCATGTCAACACTACATGGTCCAGAATCAGATTCTGGCTACAGAGGAAGCTTAATTATTAAGCAATGCCTTTCTAAAAAGCTTCTGTATTTCTGATTGGTACGGAAAGAAAGAAAAAGCATCTCTCATTGAAGTAACACTGAGGTTCAGCTTGGGCCCCTTCTGTGTTGAATATAATTAACTCTTCGGGAGAAAATGGTGAAACACAGTCCATAAGTTACAATCATCTTCAGGAAAAGTCTATGGGCAGCTCCGGTGTGACAACTGTGTATCGTGGGTCTAGTCTGGGGATGAAATTGTGAAATTCTCTAGATGCACCAGTACCAAACACATCCAGTGCTTTGCGGTTCATGAGTGCAAACCTGTGAAAGAAAACACAATTCAGAAACCATTAAGGACATCCATGAAGTAAACCAAGTACTTCCTCTGACTTAGTTTTCAAGGAATGGAAAGACAGGTTGGCAAGGCAAAACCCCTGGAAATCAGTGGCAATTTCAAACATTACAGGCAACTCAATGCCTAACACTCACTGTCCAGGATTAAAAAACCCCAAGGTCACAAACCACAGTCCTCAATTATTATTTCAAACACATCTAGAATGCTTTATAGTAGATGCTTCTGAATACAAAGTATGGCTAACCAGTATTTTTATGATGAAAAAAATCATAGGATTCTAAGAAAACAACTATTTAATATTTACCAATGAGGCAAGGGTGTTAAGTGTAATTGCTCTCATAGCTGAGACCTTAATGACTCCCAATGAAAATAGAACAATCCAAATATGCAAATATTAAATGATTAAAAAGCAAACAGCAGACAGCTTCTCCAGTTTCTAATAAAACAGAGCAAACATATTCTCTCATGGGCACAAAAGAGGTAAAGGACTCACTGCTAAGTCTGTCAGCATGACTTCCATCCCTAGAACCATATGGTGACAAAAGAGAACTGACTGACTACCACAAGTTGTTCTATAACCTCCACGGCACACACACACACACACACACACACACACACACACACACACACACACTACATGAGAGGTAACCCTTAAAAAAAGATATAGCCTTATGTTAACCATTATCTAAGCCCAGAGATGAAGCAATGTTAAGACCAGTTTTAGTTGGTGCATAGGTTGGACCATTTAGGTCTTCTTTCTTATTCACAATCATTGAATTTGTGGAGAAGATAGTACTATGAAATTAATTTTGAATCACTGGCCAAAATTGATATACCAAAATCTAATAAATATATTTTGTTCTTTACCACATTAAGGTCCCTTCCAAAGTATTCACTGGAAAAACTCCAGCATGTACAAAAATATCAATGACAAAAAAAGATGAAACTACAATAATATGTAAGCTACATTCTGTCAGAGCTAAGAGCAAGAATTCTAAAGTCACACTGCTAGTTTATAGCCAGCTCTTTCACTTACTGTGTGACGTGGCAAGCGGCTAGCCTGTGTATGATTCTCAGTTTCTTCAAATTTCCATGTAAGAACAGCAATTTACCCATTTCAAGGATTAAATGTACATACTTACATGTGTACCTTAAACCTCACCTGGGACAGGGCAGGTACTATATAAGCATTTGCTATGTGACCTAGTAGTGATGATGGCACTGTTAATTGCTGTGACTCAGTAGTGACTTAGTGTGCACTAACTACTGAGCACAAACCTTGTGAACAACTAACTATACTGCTACAGTATGAGGTAGTTTGTTCCTCAAAGGCAGACATGCTGAAAACATGATCCCTCTGAGGTAGTAGAAGCTTTACTAAATGAAGCATAATGAAATGCCAGTCACAGAGGACTTGATGCTCACAAAAAGATTAATTACAGAGGTCTGGGTCTTGTAAGCATGGATCAGTTCCCATGTGAGCAGACTGCTACAAAGCACAGCCATGGCCTTTTCCCATTCTGTTTCTCTGCCACACTGTGATACAGCCTGTGGATCTTTACCATAGCACCAGTGATGTGCTGCTCGTACCTTCCAGCTACAAGAATCATGAGTAGAATGAAATATATATACCAGTGTCAGGTAATCCCTCATAGCAACACAGAACAGACTACAGCACATAGATTATTACGATATTAAAGAACAAAATAAGGCAGAGCTCTTGGTTTCCAGACTGATAGCTGGGAAACCAGCATGGGGACTGATCCAGACCCCAGGAACATGGTTGTCAGTGAGGAAACCTCAGAAATCTATGGGGCCTCTGGTAGTAGATCAGTACTTATCCCTAGCATAGGTGTGGACTTTGGTAGCCCATTCCACATAGAGGGATACTCCCTGAGCCTAGACACAAGGGGGTGGGCCTAGGCCCTATCCCAAAGGATATGACAGACTCTGAAGACCCCCTATGGAAGGCCTCACACTCCCTGGGGAGCAGAAAGGGTATGGGATAGGTAGGGTGTTAGTTGGGGGGGGCAAGGGAGGAGGGGAGGCAGAGGAAACTAGGATTGACATGTAAAATAATCTTGTTTCTAATTTAAATAAAAAATGGAGAGAAAAAAGAGAGAACAAAATAATATCAAATTGTGAGAGTAAATACATGTCTCCCAGTAAAAGAGGTGAAGGTGCCATAGCTGAAGTCCAACTCCGTCAGTCTATTTTTTTTTCTATTAGGTAAAACTCTCTCCAAAACAACAAAACAACTCAAGTTAAGATTAAAAGGTTGGGGACTGGAAAAAGATAGGAACAGCAGAGAAAAGGAAAATTAACACATTATGAGGCAACAGAAACCGGGAATTTTCCCAAAATTAAAACCAGCTGATTCTGTAGAGATGAGTTCTTTAAATGGTTATACTTGCGTGTGTGTGTGTGTGTGTGTGTGTGTGTGTGTGTGTGTGTGTGAGAGAGAGAGATTCCTAGTTTGAACTTGTTTAATATTTTAAATAGAAAAGAGTTTAAAGATTCACAGATAGATAAGATTAAGTGCTGATTATCTAATGAGTAACAAACTAGCAGTTACCAAGAGAGCACACTAACCTAGATCATTTAGAATATCCAAACTATTCTAAGAAAAAAACCCAAATATTTAATTTTCACTCAAAGGAATTCTGATGTATTTCTTATTAAGTTGGTCAAATTTGGCTTACATATAAATAACCAATTTACCAATGAAAGAATATTCTCTCGGGGGACAAAGACATTTATAATTTCTTTATAAAAACTATGCATTATTTATAAGCACTGAAAATATCTTGGTCACTTACTTGCCCTTGGTGAGCCTTAAAAGGAACTTCCAGTAAGATGGTCGCAAGTTCTGAACTTCCATAACGGCCTAAGATTAATCAATTGGAGATTTAGTTCAGTAAATACAAAATACTGCAGTCTCAGGCAATAAAGAAATTCTTACTTCTATATTGGTTGCATTTTAAAAGTTTCAATGATGAGAGTAACAAAAACATGCTTTAATGATAAAGTCACTATAGGAATCTTTGTAATATGCTTTCCAGTAGACATGTTGCTTTTGACATGATAATTAGTGAATAGCATCGTTACCAGGAAGCAGGAGTGACAATTGATGTTACTGGGTTTCAATCTGACAGCACCCCTGTGGGAAAGAGCAAGCACAAGGCCCCTCCCCCTTACACACACACAACTCCGCCATGGCCATTAATACAGCAACAAAAGAGTGATGACACAAGCTGGCTCATTCTTCTCATTCCCCAGGAATATCACGGAGTGTCTAGGAAGGCACCTGAGTATATTCATACTTGAGGCACTTTTTTCTCCAGGAAGGATAATTACATCAGGCTGTTCTACCTACAACACAGGGCTATGAATTCACCCATCCATGTATTCTACTTAGAAATTAATATTGGTCTGTTCTTTAAGCAGGGCCTGACCCATTAACATGTCCGGTGCTTTGAGACATGCAAGTTCTTCTACTAGAAAACAAACCAACAAGAAGTAAACATGACAATCAAGGCAGTTCCTAGGCTGCATTTCCCCACCAGCTCAATGAAAATCAGAAATAGAAACTTCTTTTGTCCTCTCAAAAGCTGTACTTACTGCATGGAAGCAAATTGCTGTAGAGATGGAATAGATGATAGTATCTGCTTGAGGAAAATAGGGAACCTTTCCGGCTTCGATGCCCTTAAAATACATTGTCTGCAAATCAAGAAGAATGCAAGAGTTTATATTATGTTTTAAAATGAAGCAGCATTAAGACAGAACTGAATGGTGAGTTCCCCAAGTGCATTTTCTGCCTTTCTGAGTCCTTCTCTTCCCTCTAAGAGCTCAGATCATGCACATCTTCCAGACAGTGCTCTGTTAGCCTTCTCTGTCCTTCATAACTTCAGCTTCCAGCGGCACTGATCTTGTGTGTGGAACTGAATAGCACTTTATATCTGTGGCATTAAAATACCACTTATTATTGGATGCTTTTGTAAATGCTTACGTGCTCCCTTCATTTATTAGGCTTGAACTATATGATGGGCAGAGTGTTAGGAGCAAGGGATTTATTTATAAATGAGCAAAATATAAGCCTAGAAGATAACATTTCTGCACTCTACTGAGAGAGGTATAACATGTGATAGATACATATATGTAAGTCATGTATTATTCAGCTCTCACAGGGACTAAAGGAAATATGACCGAGAAGATTTTTTTTAAAGATTCACTTGTAATGTTTCTTAAACTATCACATTTTTCTTTAACTTAAAATTGTCATAGATCAATCCATTTATGATACAATAAAATTAATTACTAGGAAAATAAATTTTAAAAAATTGAACCAAATTTTCACTATGGAATTCAAAAGGCAAAACTTTAGTGCCACAAGTTGCTATCAAAGTTCCCTAATGCTCAGTTCTCAGTGACTACAAGAGCTTGTCATGGGATGGCATTAGTCAGAATGCTGAGGGCACTTTTAAATAGCACTCCTTCTATCATGTGCAAGACCAACAGCCAAATTAGAGGGAAAATGCAGGAGTAACAAGTAGGCATGAAAATGAACACACACATACACACACACACAGAGAGAGAAAGAGATAGAGAGAGAGAGAGAGAGAGAGAGAGAGAGAGAGAGAGAGAGAGAGAGAGAGAGAAGAGACAGAAAACACAAAGTGGCTACACATTCAGAACAGGGGAATTCATGGCAATGGATTTATGGCACACATAAAGCTAAGGGAAACCTAGCAAGGAAGTGGAAGGAAAGGAAGCTAACCGAGACTGGACGGAGTTCACAGCGGATGGGGGGTTAAGGAAGGTTTGGGAAGTTCATGAAGGAACACAAAGAAGTTATTAGCAAATGACACCCACAACCCCCTCATCTTCCTGTGGTCTTCAGCAACCACCAGATTTGCTATATAATTTACCTTGTTAAAATTTAATCCCAACAGCTTTGGCATTAAAAAAATAAGATACATAACTGCTACCACACTCAAAGAGAAAAAGCAACAGAAGAAATGACAGGATAAATGTGAACCAATTAGAAATATTGAGACAGAAATATGAGACAGGAATACATATCAACAATTGGAAAATAGAAAAACTGTAGGGTACCTATGAAGTTACAACTTATTTAGAAAACATGATGAACAATCACATATTAGTCATTATTTCCAAAATAACATGAAAGGGTATTTATTATAAGTCAGATATATTCATGTTGAAGAAAGTATAATATATATGTGAACAGCATCACAGAGATGTTAAGGGGAAGTTATCTCAATCTATTGAATACTTGCGCCAACACTAAACATAACTACTGAACCACATTCTAAGTCAGTGAAGGGCATGAGCTCTATTGCATCCTATGCTTGTAGCTCTTCCTGCAGTAACGGGAACACAAAACACATTTTATTCATAGGGTGCAGGAAAAAAAATTTTTTTGGTTTTTTTTTCCAGACAGGGTTTCTCTGTGTAGCTTTGGAGCCTATCCTGGCACTCGCTCTGGAGACCAGGCTGGCCTCGAACTCACAGCGATCCATCTGCCTCTGCCTCTTGAGTGCTAGGATTAAAGGTGTGCACCACCAACGCCCTGCAGGAAAAAATTTATACATGCTAAAGTTTGGATCTAAAATGTCACTCAAAGCTCCAAATGTTAAAAGGTTGTCTCCATAATGCTGTTGCTGGGAGGAGGCGGAATCATTAACAATGGGGCTCTGTGTGGAGACCTCTGGTCACTAGAAGGGTTCTCTAGAAGAGGACATTAGGATACTTCTTTCGCCCCCTTGAGTTCATTCTCCTCTGTGATGCAAAGAGCTGCACTCTGCCTGCTCCCCACATGATGTGCTGTCTACTACAGCCAAAGCAACAGCTGGTTAGAATGGACTGAAACCTACAAACCATGAGCCAGAATAGCCTTTCCCTCTTTAAAGGTCATCTACCTCACATATTTCTACAGCGATGGAAAGCTGACAATGTAGTGGAATTTTCTGTCAATTCACTACAGGGTAGTGCAGCACGTTAACAAACAGAAACTTCAACCACAGAAAACGGTTACCAGTACACGATTTTAATTCATGTCACAAAGCACGTCGGGAGCTTAACACTTTTAATTTTCATTAAAATGTCCTCATCAGCACTTTTCACGGGCCAGTTGGTTTTGCCAGGATCATCTATAAACTGATGAGACGAGAACAGAGAGGCATCACACGGTTTGTTTGCTGACATCTCAGTCTTAGTTTCATCCTATGTCAAAGGATGTATTTGCTACTTAGAGGCTGTATTTTATTTCCTACTCTTCTTTTCCACTAGCAATACTGGCCAACTCTGTTCCTAAACACATGGAATATGCACACTTCTTTCCCCTTTTACTGTTACCAGTTTGCACAATCCTCCAAGGTCCTGCAAGGCATGATGATCTCCCAACTGCCCTCCATGCCTTCTAAAACACTCTACAGAACAGCCAGGCTCTGTTTTTCTTAAAATAGAAGCCCAAGCCAATTCAGGGGCTTCCATTCTGTAATTTTTTTTTTAATACTGAGTCTCATGTAGCTCAGGCTGGCTTCAAACTTGCTTTATAGTCAAGGATGGCTTTGAACTTCTGACCTCCTACCTCCACCTCCAAGGGTACCTACCGGCTTGCGCCTCCATACCATTCTGCAACTCAATGAACTAGTGAATCTGACTGATGAGCATTGACTGCTGCTCAAATCTGAGCCGGAAGTCTACCGAGGATCCTCAAGTTGGCTTTGTATCAACACTAGAGCCTAACAAAAAGACAACCAGACACTTCTGTGGCTCTGAACACGATACAACAGGGTATTCACACAGCATTGGGAAACTTTTCTGCTTCCCTACCCGCTCCAGAAAAAATAAGGCTTAAACATAAGATTTTGGATCTAGTTAACAGTTTACAGGGAAGACAGGAGTTGAACATCGAAGAAGGAAAGAAGAAAGGAAGAAGGAGAGGGAGAGAACACCCAATGGAGTAGGAGGAGGAGAAAAAGGGGGGTAACTACATAGATTTAAAAAGTCTTTGCATGGCCCAAACAGAGGACTGCACAAACACACAGGATTCTCAGGGAAGATGAAAACCAATCAGTCAGATGATGCTTTTATGGAATCAATAGGCTTTTTAAATGCATAAAATGGTATTGTGGCCATACTTTGGCAGTCCTATTGATTTTCTTTTTAAAAGTGTTTATTCTGAGTTTGTGTAGGTGAGCAGAGTAGCAATGAGAAGACACTGTTGAGATGTTGGTAAGCGCTGAAGTGCATGGTGGGTTCTGAGGACTGATCACACTATGCTTTCATCATGTGTGTTGTGTGAATATATCACAGACACACAAAGGAAAGTGAACATAATGGGGAACTGACTATCAATGCTTGGCTGGAATCAGAGCCTGCTTTGGTAGCAGTTTATTTTTGCAACTGAAGCAGTTCCATGCAGCGACAAAAGCTTTGTATCCTTGGGAACTTATGCATAGCATCTGTGCTTACCTCCACCAGTTTGGAAGCTAAGTACATGGAAATGGTTGTGCTCTTGTAAAACATCATTGACACACCTGCCAAAAACCCTGAAACGACAAGAAAAAATGATCAGATTGCAGATTATTTCTTTGTGGTTAAATCATCAGAAACGCTAATTCACTTAAACTGGAAAAAATATGCTTTTAGCACTGCCTCTAGCTGGACAAAACACAAGGACATACACATCCAATAACACTAAAATGGAGTGAGACATTATTAATCCATATTTTTAAGTTAAAAACAATAACCTCCAGAGTTGAGAACAGTGTATAAGAAGCCCTAACTTAAAGAGCTATAGTGTAAGAAGGGGAGAAGAGGAGGGATGCAGAGGACATGAGGGAGAAGAAAGGTTGAGTCAGGGGAAGAATAGATGATAACAAGAAAGAAGATACCAAAATAGAGGGAGACGTTTTAGGTTTACAGAGAAATCAGCCACTAAGGAAATGTCTGGAGATCTACAAATGACACCAGCTAACAATCTAAGCAACAGAGGAGAGGCTACCTTAAATGCCCTCCCCTGATAATGACATTGATGACTGACATATATGCCACCTGATAGCCCTCATCTAGCAGCTGGTGGAAGTAGAAGCAGACACTCACAACTAATCACTGAATTGAACTGAAATCCAGATGCAAAGAAGGACGAGAAAAAGCAAAGGTGTCCAGACCAGGCTGGTGAAACCCACAGAAACAGCTGACCTGAACATCAGGGAACTCTTGCTCCCCAGACTGATAGCTGGATACCAGCAGGAAGGTGATCCAGACCCCAGGAACATGGGTTTCAGTGAGGAAACCTCGGAAATCTACGGGACCTCCTGAAGTTGTTCGGTACTTATCCCCTAGCACAGGTGTGGACTTTGGGAGCCCATTCCACATAGAGGAATACGGTACTTATCCCCTAGCACAGGTGTGGACTTTGGGTGCCCATTCCACATAGAGGAATACTCCCTGAGCCAAGACACACGTGGGTGGGCCTAGGCCCTATCCCAAAGTATATGATAGACTCTGATGACACCCTATGGAAGGCCTCACCATCCAGGGGGAGCAGAAAGGATAGGTGATAGTTGGGGGAGGGTGGTGAGAGAGGACGGGAGGGACAAGGGAACTGGAATTGTCATGTAAAACAATCTTGTTTCTAATTCAAATAAAAAATTAACAAAAAAAGGAGAATACTCTCCAATCTATTTTCCTAACAGTTAAGGCTATTTTCAGTGTGGCCACATTATTACTGTCCACAGCATCACCTTCATTGTGCAAGTGGAAAACTAAGGGGCTGGAATCCTGGACACGTAGCCAACTTGTAGTACATACATTGCATCCTAGAAAACGATCTTCCATTTTTATTTTTATACGATAATTGAGTGCCTTTTAACAGTTTAAATATGTCATTTTCCAGTGGCAAAACCAGATTTTTAAAGAACTCTCACTGGATTGCCTGTTAACAACTTTATAATCAGTCTTATGAGACATCCTCTAAGATTTCTGGCAATGATGACAACTCAAGTTATTACACTACCAACTCAAATACCAGACACCAAGTGTGCCTCAACCCATTTAGCTTCACACACACTAGTGGGCATCTTCACAAGAATTTGATCACAATGCAGGAAGAAACAGAAACTGAACGACTTTGAAGGCTTTCACTCCATCCCATCATCATCTGCTATGGCAATGGACCTCCTTTTGATTACTGACTTACCAGCCACAATAGCATGCAGCTCGTCGTCCAGGTTCCTGATCCAGCGGAGGAAACAACTCATCCCCTGTATTAAGGAGAAAACACCATCATCTTGGTTACATTATTTCTGAGGGGAAAATTGCATGAGAACAAAAACTGCACTGAGTGATTCTCTCAACAACCGGATCCTGTGTGAAACAAGCTGGACCCATGATTGGGAAGTGCACTTACAGCCCGGCATACACTTACTAAGATCATATGTCACACTGTTGCAACACTTTTCAAAAGCCTGCCTATGAATGCACCTCCTAAAAACAGGACCTGGAGGAAACAGTCATTTCCATAATAAGGAAGCAAAGGACCTGGATAAATTACACATCTGTTAAGCCAGTTTGCTGGACCACAGTCACTAGCTCTCAGAAGTAGCAATGAAACAGAAAATTCACTTGCAGCAGACACTGACTATGAGAAAGGTCATTCCTCAGCCAGAAAGGTGACACTAGACAAAAGCTCAGATCTATAAAAAGGAATGAAGAGTGATGAAAACAATGAGAAAAGGGGTAAATTTAGAAGACATATTTCCCTTATCTGCAGTCAGCCAAAGCAATATTCAACAAAATTATGGGCCTTTTAACTAAAAATGACCTGCCATGTGGCTTCCTATGACTAGGAGGTAACCCTGGCTTTTGTCTGTTCCTTTGTTTGGGTTCCATTTTTTGTTGTTGTTTTGTTTTGTTTTGGTTTGGGATTTTTTGCAGCAGGCCTGGCTCTGTTGCCAGAGTTTTCTAGAATGTCTAGGTTCAATCAATCTTCCTACCTCAGCCTCTAGAGATGCTGCAACTAGAGGCAGGTGCTATCATACCAGCTTTTAAGATTTTTTTTTTGTTTTTGCTTTTAAATAGTTTTACATAGATAAAAATAAAAGTATAATAGTATTTTATGATGTAAAAATTCTATGAAATTCAAACTATGATGTGTTAAGTTAACTGGAACACACCATGCTCTTTTGTGGACACCTTGCCTGCTTTCTCATCACCTAAACAGAGCTGAGTGGTTGTGACAGAGATCACATGGTTCAAAGCCTAAAATAATATTTACTGTCTGGCTTTTTAAAGAACAAGTTGACTGTAAAACAAAAATATTAACAATGTACTGTGGAGTTTCAGCATTGTAAAGATCAATACACAGCACAAGGGCTACAAAGGGATTCAATGTACAGTGTAATATTTTCACATTATAGATATAATATAGAGTAAGATCTTATCTCAATGGGGGAGGGAACCAATATAGTCTTGAAGAAACCCAACTTTTAAAATGAAGATACAAAGATGAAATTCAAAACTTAGAAACATATTCCTAAGTCAACATAAATCAACAATTTGTCCAGTAGAATCAGAATTGAAATTCACAAACTAAAATTTAGATAGTGAGATACTTCAGTGTTCTGGGTAACACATCAGTGGTCTCCACTACACAGAAGGCCATTAGTCAACACTGCAACATTCCATCAAGGATGCTCTCACATGTTGCTGTGGGCTTGTCAACATAAGGAGACATTTATAGGCATACACAAAATGCGACTGATGAGGACTCGCTGCTTTAGATGACATGACAGAAAGTGTCAGCGGACAAAAGAGTAACCCACTGATCATTTCACAATGTTACAGCATGACTCATGCATTATAAGAGAAGACAACTATAGTTTTGACCAAGTCCTGTCACCTCTAGCAAGGTCAGATGTATTTCAAAGTGAGCAGCCAGGCAGTAAATGTTTAAAATGATTTAAATGTTTTAAATTAAGTGTTTAAAATTACTTTTAAAATTGCACAGACTATTATTATATTTTACTTAGGAAATATGCATTTTCTTAGAATGCCTATGTATTGAAAACTAAAGAAAACAAATCTCTAAGCCGGGCGTTGGTGGCACACGCCTTTAATCCCCGCACTCAGGAGGCAGAGGCAAGCGGATCTCTGTGAGTTCGAAGCCAGCCTGTTCTCTAGAGTGAGTGCCAGGATAGGCTCCAAAGCCACAGAGAGAAACCCTGTCCCAAAAAACCAAAAAAAGAAAGAAAAAAAACGAAAACAAACCTCTGAAAGAATATATAAATACAATATGTGTATAAATTCAAGCATATTCAGTAGCATTCTAAACAAGCTTAACCTGAGCTCATGAAAGAACAAAAACGAAAACAAACCTCTGAAAGAATATATAAATACAATATGTGTAAAAATTCAAGCATATTCAGTAGCATTCTAAACAAGCTTAACCTGAGCTCATAATATATTGTTTATACTTGGTGATGCTAAAATATATATGAATACCCCAGAAAGTACCACCAAATAAAACAATAGCTGAATTAAGGCACAACTTATTCTAATAATAGCCATTCCACTTATTTCTCTTTTTAAAATATGATTTATTCATTACTTTTATTTTATGTATATGACTTTTTCCTTTGTGTGTGTGTGTGTGTGTGTGTGTGTGTGTGTGTGTGTGTGTGTGTATGTGTTAGTGTGTGTCTGGTGCACAAAATCTTCTGGAAATAGAGTTACAGATGATTGTGAGCCACCATTTGGCTGTGAGAAACCCAATCTCTCCAGCCCAGTTATTTTTTTCCCCATTTTCTTTCTTTTTTGATAAGCTTACCTTATATATACTAACAAAGGATCCAAGAAAAGCCCCCAACTGGAAGTTTTCTTTGTTGTAGAAGAGTGAGAGTAGCCGGGATGGTTCTGTGAACAAATGCCTAAATGCAGAGGGGATCCGGAGACAGCACTGGATCAAGTAACCCACGCTGAACATTCTGATGAAGCCCTAGACAAAATTCCAACTCTTGACATTTTGTTGACAATAACCACAAGGAGTTTTAGAAACATAAGAATGGAAATCCCACCACCCCTACCCCCACCAAATAGTAAACAAAACTAACTCCTTGGGAAATTTAATAGGAAACTGTGTGATCATCAGTATAAATATGGATTTTTTTTAATGGAAGATAATTTCATTATTTGTTTGTGGCTCTGATATCATACTTTTTAAATAACCCAGATAAAGGAGATTCCTAGAAAATAGGAACTCCATCTAGATCTTTATTTCTATAATCTACTACATGAAGCTAAAACAAGGAATGGTTGGTCTTCAGTGAACCAAACTGAGCCTTTAATCCCAGCACTCAGGAAACAGAGGCAGAGGCAGGCAGATCTCTGTGAGCTCAAAGCCAGCTTAGTATATATACTGAGTACCAAGACACTCTCAAAAACAAGCAAAGAGACTTCCAAATATTTTCATAGTGTAAATTCCTCTCCCACATGTCTCCAAATAGTTTTACATTCATGGATGTAACATTCATTTCATAAGCTGCTAAAGTCTTAGAATGTGTTTCAAAGAACCACTAGGTTTTTGACTACTTGGCAATTCTCACTCTTTTTTTCTTCAGAAAATGTTCAGTATTACTTCCCACACACTGCATGAATTCCCCCCTTGAGTTGTTAGGAAGAATTCTCTCTCTTTACCAGCCAATAGATTGTGGTTTATTTGTTGTTGCCACTTTGAAAGCAAGGCAGGAAATCTAATCTGGACAATGCACAAGGAAAATGGATTCTAATGTATTAGTCCCAGACCTGGCTCTGAGGGTTCTGAGATGAGTGTAGAGTTGGGCAAGTGTCAACACTGAGTCTTGGCACTCCACTTAAGTACACTGATGAGGACAGTATCTAAGTTCTACATCACTGCTATGGAATATTATTTTTATGTGTATTACATTTCTTCCTACTGCTTTTGTTTACAATGCAAAAACATGTTATGTCTGTTTGATTAAATAAAATTAACCTGTGGTCAGGAGGCTGAGTTGGCAACTAGTTGACAGGAAGTGGCAGAGGGAGGAACCATGTGTGGAGAGTGTTCTTAAGTGGGCTGGGGGTGAGGGGTGGAAGGAATCTTGGGTCTTTCTGGAGACAAGAGCAAGGAGAGAAGGTTAGCTACTTGCTATTCTGCCTCTCCGAGTGAGCAAAATTCATCTCAACCTCTGAATCCCGAGTTCTACAGAGGGGTAGAGATCTAGATAAAGTTTCCCTTAGTGGCTTTGAGAGAACCAATGTGTGAGGAAACAGGATTCCCACCAGCTAAGACCCTTGCAGCTGGCAAATGTGGAGTTGAGATTGCTGATTAGGACAGCAGTTGCTTAAGGGACCATATTAGGTGAAAAACAACACATAACCACATGGAGGGTCCTTCATCTGAGGTCTGTATAACTTGGCTCTGATCAACTGAGCCCCAAATCCAGACTTTGTAAGAAATAAGTGACTTTTAAAAAGGATTGGAATTGTGAACACCATTCAAAACTGTGGTACTTACAGCAGATGGTGCCACCTGCCCCAGATATTCTTTCCAGGGCTGGTGATGAGAGAGGAGACAGAAAGGCAGGAAGTGTAGTTTTGCACTACTACCCAAGTACCCTAGAGAATAGGGAATTTGTGCGAGTGGGCATAGTTAACTCCCTTAATGCTGATCTATAGAGGCACACACTATTCAACAAGATAGTATCAGGAATAGACTTGGAGTCAAATACAAATTAAATTGCAGCAGAATTAATGTGAACTTTCTATTTACTTAGACATTACTACAGATTAGTTACTTGGATATAAAGCCCCCATTGTTGACAGACAGCAGGTGGACACCTTTAGAGACTCACTTTAATGCAGTAGGAGATGCAGTTGTCTTCATAATGCTTGCAGCATCTGTGCCTTGGTCCATGCTTACATCTGAAATCAGACCAGAAAAGCAACACTAATTTAATTATAATTAAAGTATGTGTGCATACATATGCATCACTTGGGAGTGCCTGTGCATGCATGTGAGTACATTGTGCATGAAAATGTTGCAAATATATTTAAAATTTCCTCACCAATAAAGGAGAAGAATTTTTTTTTACAACATAAAGAAGCAAAGTTAAGAGACTGTCATTTTTATGTTGTTACTAACACCTTATACAAAACAGGTGATCACAGTTAAAATACCCAATTGGTGAACAGAAAGACGATACTGGCAATTATTTGTGACTGAATAAGAAAAATATGTATACACTGCTATATACACCACCAAATTTTGGGAGCTTTAAGTTTCTTGTTGCAGAGCATGAGGATTATAAATCATCCGTGAAGTCAGTATTTGAACAAAATCATAATGAGACTGTGTTCCAGTGTAGGAATTTGTACTTAATTATATTTGAGAGGGAACATCTGGAAATGAAACCTGATAAAGTGTCAGAATTCAAAATTCAGTTATTAAAATAAATATGGAAATAGGAATCATGTGGGAACTGAGAGGTTATTTGTGATTTAATTGTAAACCACTTATAGTCTGGTGTTTCATATAAACATTTCTGCCAGGACTACTGTTCTTGTGGGACACTGACTCTACCACCCCTCATTCACCCTCAGCATAAAAATGTAAGTCAACTAATATGCGTCTTGATCGCTCTCATTTTCTTTGAAGGGCTCAAATTCCAAAGTCAGCAGTCACTATAACTTCTTCCAGGCAAGTTAACTGTTGCTGCAGTGGGAGCACATAAACTCTTCCCTGGGCATAACTGTAGCTTGCAGACCAATGTTCTGGCTCTGCACCTCTCCAACCTTTCAGAACCCCACTTCTGTGCTGCAGCTGGATCACACAGGCAGTCTCTCCTAGTCAAAGGCCATGGCACCAGCTCATTCTGACTAAGCCCTTATGTCATGGGAATGACATGCCATATCTGGGCATGTGGAAGTGCTGATTGATTAACGCTGGAAGCCTGAACAGAGGTGAACGGGGGAAGTCTGTCTTGTGCAAACCATTACTCTTCAAAAACAGGTCAAGTTCTGCTACCAGACATATTTTACCAACTAAGTACCAAAATCAGCAGTACTGTCATGTGATCTTTCCTTGGTCACTTAGAATGGCTCCCAGTGTCATAGACAGCAACCACTCTTCAAAAACAGGTCAAGTTCTGCTACCAGACCTATTTTACCAACTAAGTACCAAAATCAGCAGTACTGTCATTTGATCTTTCCTTGGTCACTTAGAATGGCTCCCAGTGTCATAGACAGCAACTCTCATACTTTTAGCTTTGCTTTTATATAATTCTGTAAGCAGTTTCACTGGGATCATCACTGACCCCAGGAGCCATGCACCTTCATCTGTTCGTGTTCCTCTCTGATTACTCTCTCACTTACTTCCCTTAAGGGGAGGCTTCTCTTTTCCTCACTCAGGTTACCCAAACCCACTCTCGAATTAGCTTAATGAGTTCACTGACACACCTGTTCCTGCCCTCTGCATTTCCTTTCTTTGCTCCTATTTTCTCTGTGTAGTGTAGACTAATACGAAGACAAAAAATGAATTCAGCAAAAATGTGACCATCATTTATGCCTACACAGTCCAACAGGCAATTCTGCACGTGCCACTTCATTTATTGTCAACCCCGGGTATTAGACAAGAATTTCGTGGAGAATGGTATTTTAACTACTTATCCAAAGTCAGAGAGCTGGCAGAGGCAAATTAAGAGTCCAAGGCTTTCTAATTTCTTCCTACAAATGATCCCATTTCTCTCAATGTTGTCTACTCATTCTGTTCTCTCTAAAATATCACTGCCATGACCATTTCATTGGCTAATGCCATAATTTTAAGCCATTAGATAGACTTATTTTAGTAAATGTCTATGCTAAAATAAAAATGAATGTTCAAAATGTACAGATTTCTTTTTCTGCATAACAAACAAGTAAATATTTCAGCCCAGAACCCTACATATTCAAACTGCTAGGAAATATCCTTTACTTAAGGTCTGCTCCTTACTCCTGTGTCATCTTGACTCTGTCAGCAAGGATTCTCGATTCTCCGAAGTGTGACAGCCTTGGAGCACAAGCTATGTGTTCTGACTCCTCCCTTCCCAGGCCTCCCTTAACTCTGCCCAGAATGAACAGAAAATGGTTTCAGTTCCATGAAAATCTATATTAAAGACATGTGATGACACTCCATCCAATGAGAAAGGAGGATGAACATTCCCTTGCCTTTTATAAGCTCTAGGTATAGTTTTTGCTGGGAACAAAAGAGTAACGTCTTTACCTGAAGAGGAAAAACATGTCTTAGTATTTGCAGAGACCGTATGAGACAGGGACCGAGTGTGGACCACTGGGCAGAGCACTCACATGGAATCCACAAGCGTCCTAACCAGAGAGATTAGATTCCTTCCCCTCGGCTTTCCCTTGTGCTTCTCCCTCTTCTGTTCCACTTTCGCATATGCTGTCTCTGGTGAGTAAGAATGGGTGGGGATTTCTTCTTTCCCTACAATAAACCTGAAGGAGAGAGCATGGTGTCAGTCATTTTCACCTCTCATGTTTTTCAGTAGGAAAAAAAAAAAAAAGACTGTTTCAATACAAATACAGTTAAAGAGTTCTTTACTTAAAATACTACTTTCACAACTTACATAAAATACTATTATGGTCTAAAAAGATTTTAAAAGTCTGAACTGACATGCTGGTATTTTTAAATCAAACTGATCGACTACAATACACTACAGGAATTCTATGAGGCACTTAGGACATTCTTTAAGGCATTGCATGCTTTAAGATTTGTCAAGAGAAGCAGGTCAGTTTAGATCCACAGGGCAATCACAATTACAATTGAATTAGTGTGTCGTTCAGAGTAAAACTAAGTTCATACCCCATGGCTATTAGGTCTGAAGTGGGCTCCCAACCCCCCAGAATGACAGCCAGGGCCCAGCTCAGGCTGAACTCTGACCAGATAAACACAGGGATTGCTAGTGGATAAACAAAAGCTTACACTGGGCATTCCTCAGATACTTGTTTCTGTCAGGAAGATACACTACTTTCTTTACCTCTCCCTACACTCCAGTGGGGCATCTTGTTCCCTATTAGCACTTATCAAAGGTCCTGGCTCTTGTAGCCTACAGACCCCCTCCCACTCCCTCCCCACACTATTTTAAACTTCCAGGCTGTTTTAGCATACCAACTCTCTTCCAGTCATCTACATGCTCCCTTTAAAACTACCTTCCCACCCCAGGCTTCTCTGCCTTTTGCTATTCTCTCTACACCCCAGGAGACAGCCATGGCAGCTATGAATTTCCCCAAATAAATCATTCTTTCCACCCATGAGTGATCTATCTGCTGGTTTCACTGTACCCTCACTTATATCTGTATCTTTACTGATAGGCAGTGGCATTAGGAAAAGTCCCCAGTAAAACAGTGCTAACTGAGCCTGGTGGCAGCCATGGCAGCTGCATTTGCCTTTAATCCCAGGAGGCAGAGGCAGAGGCAGGCAGATCTAAGGCCAGCCTGGTCTATAGAGTGAGTTCCAGGACAGCCAGGGCTACACAGAGAAACCCTATCTCAGAAAAACAAACAAACAGCAAAATATAGTGGTGCAACTAAAGAAATAAAATCAACCAGAAATACCTATTTATCCTTAAATCCTTATTATTATAGTATTATTCCAGTCCACTTGTTTTTCTTTGGAAAAATCAAACACATATTGGAGATGACCGTTTGTCAAGACCATGCAATTGAAAATGTTCCCATCATTAGCTAATACTGGAGAAGTGAGCTTTCTCACAAGTTTCACACACTGCTTTGAACCCCACTGTAAAAGTCACTGATGTTACAAAGAACAGCTGAACTTTAATAAGGACAACCCCACCTTCAGAACTTTCAGAGTCTATCTATATCTAAAATATCAACTCAACAGAGGGTCAGCAATACCGCAATAAAATTCTAGGACTGAGATCTGTGACCAACAGAATATGAAATTTTAAGTACTAGGAAAAAAAAATCAAAATGCTAGTCCCATCAACCACAGACCCAGCCTGTTCTGATGAGCTCGGTAAAACATGCAGCTTTGCACACAGGGTGTGCAAAGAGCTTGTTTACCACCAAAGGGCTGCTGAGAGCCCTGGGTACTGATTAAATGGGGTGTACAAAGAGCTTGTCTGCCACCACAAGACCACTGAGAACCCTGGGTGCTATTACTGCTTGCAGTTGAGTCTGGAGAGTTTAAGATCCATATTCAATTCTGTATAAGCAACCAGATAAGACAGTCTCTTATCTTATCTTTAACCAGAAAGATAGTCTCTATAATACATTTCAGGAACTATTGCAGATGAGATTTTAGTACAGGTTACTCCTTAGAGAAGCTGTCCCTACCTGTATTCAATGAGTGAATGGCCCTTCACCTGTGGCCTTGCAGCTCTACCAGCCCCCAATGCTATACAGCACCATTCCAGAAGTCTGCATTCCTGGCTAAAGAGTGAGGACCTAGAAATTCTGTCCATTTTTGCTATTAAATGACAGTGCAAAAATTGATTTAAAATATTGAATGAATGAATATGGTAATAACACATGTGTTCTAAATATCTATTTCATGTGTGATGGCTTGAAAAAAAATGGTCCCCTAAAGGGTGTGGCACAACTAGGAGTTGTGGCCTTGTTGGAGGAAGGGTGTCACTGTGGGGGTGGGCTTTGAGGTCTCTTTTGCTGAAGCTTCACTCAGTGTGACACTGAGTCCACTTGTTGCATGCAAGATGTAGAAGTCTCAGCTCCTTCTCCAGCACTGTCTGCCTGCACAATGCCATGTCCCACAATGATGATAATGGACTGAACCTCTGAATTGTAAGCAAGCCATCCCAATTAAATGTTTTTCTTTATAAGAGTTGCT